CTTAGGAGACTGACTGCCTAGCGAATTGGAAGCAGTCTCGACGAAGAATGTGGATTTGTTCCAGAGCAATTATTTGAACATGTCTTTGTTCAGAATTTTTATCGCTTCTTTATTAACAATTGTAGGAAAAAAATCAGCAATAATTATGCATTAACCCAATATATATATATATATATATATATATATATAATATATATATATTACAGGCAAAGTAAGTAATATATTTTTATATATTTATATATAAAAATATTTATATTTATACATAGAATGCGATATCAACACGCACATCTACTTCGTAAAGAAATAAACATGCAGCCATAGTTGATGAACCAAACATCACGAACAGGCTGCCCAGAGGTGGTCGGTCAAAAAATGTTTCAGTAGAGGCTAGTTTAGAGATAACGCCCTTGAACTAACGTGTTTGTTTACTATGTAGGCAATCTCAACTCAACTGCTCACGGCATTAGGCCGCCGGCCGCGGACTATGAAAGCAGCCAGTGCGGATAGTGCAACTCTACAGCCTATACAATGCCGTGAGAACTCGTCCGCCTTCGAGCGTCTATGTCGGCTAAGCCGGTTTTGGGTCCTTTACGACGTGCTATCTGGGCCGGTCTTCTACCCGACAGCGTTTCTTGTGCTTTCCTTAGAAGTCACAGGGTCTACTCAGAGAGGAACTTGAAAAACCATTTTTTTTTTGTCACATGAGATGTGCCATTGCGACCTACAGCTGAAATGCGGCTTACAGCTTACAGAGAATGAAATTTTGACTCTTTCATTTATCGTTATGAGCAGATTGTTCGTAGACTCACCTTCAGATACATTTTAGAACTCCGACTAGGTTTCGTGGTATACTGCTGTTTCCTATTTTTGAGAGTTTTCAGAATTGAACGTCTGAGATACAGTATAAGAATCGGTGAAATGATCGCAGTTGCAGAACCAATGAACCACCATATTGCCTGATTCGAAGATTTTGAATCAAATCCTCCGAATTTTCCATACCTGAACGTCAATGGTTCAGAGAGTGATAAGAGCGTATTTGAGAACCAACTTACTTCTTCAAGTTGTAATCGGGATGTACGTGGACTACTTCTTTCATGATAATGTCGAACTGTGGAGGTCCAATATGCGGTAGAACCTGTAACGAACCAGACTTGTTTGAATTTTCGCACCTTCTCACCTTTTCCCACCCCCATATGGTTACTATTAGGAAGCCCATGACTACTGTATTCACGATTCTTCCAAAGCCAACCGCTTTGTTCTCGTGTAAAGGCTTCGATAATGATTGAAGGGCAGTTTTTTTTTTNGTTGGCCATAAGGACGCTTTTAAGAAGGAATAGGAGGATCATGCTCTCCGAGCAATACCAGTATGCTAGCACGTTACCCCCTGGGCTTTTGAAAAGAAAATAAATAATGGTCAACTAAGTGTTCAATTCTTTCCCCATCCCAGCTTCTTGAAAGAAGTTATCATCTCACCCAACCCGGCACTCCTCCCTTCCTAAGATCCGGTGAAATAACTATATTTCCCTGACTAAACAATGTTCCTACGTACCATTACAGGTCGGCAGAGCCAGCTATCCCTCTTTTTTTGCATTCTAACGCTCAGGTTACAGATGGAAAGCAGCCCCTTCTCGCATGAAGGCATCAGTATACCGCACCTTAGTAGCAGAGATGCTCAAGCGTGGAATAATGGCAATTGTGATAATAATGTGTTGACCAACTCGTAGACTCTGCGAAAGCGCAGTATGCGACAGATGCCCTGTGAGTTGAAGGTTTGCGATTAAATCGCCCGAACTATCGTCAGGGAACGGTTAGGAATGGCTCTTCCTCGTATTCAAAAAGCGGCTATTCCAATGGAAAGGATAAGCAAGCACGCCTGAATTTCTGAACATGCCCGTGAGCATGAGGGAGAGCGAGGGCAAGGCTGTCAAAGGTGTCATGAACTAGTTTAGGCTGAACCTACCAGAAGTAATATTGGCCAAATCCCAATCATGGCGAAGCTCAGAAGAACTTCTGCTTTGTTCATCTGTCTGGCTTGTAACATTCGATAACGCCAATACATTGTATGAGCTATCAATAGCTCTACATAGAACGTAAATGCACTTATGATGCTGTAGCTGATGAGGCCTGCCCGAGGACAAAACATACGAAGTGGATCTTCTGAAAGGATTGCAAGACTCGACCCGTAGCCAATCAATCTGAAATCAGCTCATCATCTGTAAAACCACTTCGTGATTCGTTTTCATTACTTTNTTTAATTGTTAAGTTCTCTAACCTCCCTTGCAGAAGTCCCGCCATCAGGGCTGTAAGTATTTGCATTGTAGATATGTTAATCAACATGGCTTTCAAGCTCCGAACAATGTGAGGACTCCTTAATAGGAAGGTAACTACAGGCAGTACAAGAGACTTTCGTCGTTCATCAAATAGCCACTTTCCAAATTTTTTCTTTTTCTTCGGATGGCTAAAAAGAATAATAAATGAAGCCTACAGGCGTAAACTAATTGCGTTTGAGGGACGCGCCTCTGCCTTCGACTTTCATTAAGAATCGGAGTGGAGTATAGAAGGCGTATACGGCTTATGCAATGAATTGCGATGGCTAGCCGATGTACAAATCAGCCTCGCAGACGAGTCTAGTGCCAATCAACCGACCCAGGAGGACGATAGGCCTAGTCGGATAACGACGCGCGATTCGAACCAGTGCCTATGTGATTGTGATGAAGCGCCACTTCTCACTACACCACCTCGGCCCTCTGATGGATTGAGTGTTCAAAGTTCAGAAAAAGACACTTTGGAGAAAGATGAAGATCCTATCATTTGAGTGCTATAAATAAAGAGAATAAAGAAAGCATACTTGAATCTGATGAGATATATCAGTAGTCCGTTTGCAGACAATGCAAACATAACGAAAATAGCGTAGTAGCAATGGACAATGAAGGGGTTGAAGTCGTTGTGATCCATGACAAGCCTGAAAGTTTTGTTTCATATTTCGTACGACCTCATATTTTCATATGGCTGCAAATGAATCTCAGTGAACATCCGAAGCATATCCCTAGATGGGGACTGACCTTTTAGGCTGTTTGTGCTGAATTAAAGGCACAGTTCACGATTACGTTGGGTTCTCTAGTTTTGGACGAGTAATGGAAGTGATAGTGCACAATAGTGCGCAAGCAGCGAAGAAAACGAGAAAATTGGGGTATTTATAGGTACGAAATGCTTCAAAATTACAGTAAAACCATGTGTTCGACGAGAATGCTACCAAAAAACCTGCATGGAAGGATTATTTGGATGAGCCATTCGATGCGCGGGAGATTGCATACAGCTCACCACAATAAGCTGCCTGCATGAACACTATGGCACGCACGGAGGGATGATCGTACTGACAATGAGCCTTACATACCTCCGGGATCAGTCACTTGGTGACAGACTCGCGTAAGAGGATAAAAACACTGACTTATATATCAGCTGGCCACCGCACTTCGTTGTATAGCCTACATAGCTTGTTATGCCACAACGATCCTGAATGGAAGTGGAATTGGGAGCATCAGAAAAAAGACTAACTAATGTCCAAGTGTCCAGTTGAAGATGGGAGCAGCTCCTGTGATGGCATGGGTACATGCTGCGAAGGCCACAGGATCACACCAAAGACAAGCTATAGAGTTCGAAACGGAAGTAGAGATACCAACGAAGAGATGTAGGTCGTGTACAAGGAGGATTTCTTCAAAAGCAAGATGAGGGCATAAGATGCCATAGATTTAACGAAGTGGCGACAACTCGAGAACAGCATATCCTGCGATTGAACGGATTCACGCTAGGGGAAAGAAGGAAAAGACTCATTCTTAACTCTTCATAGGTATCAAAAAAGATAGAGTTTCTTGTAGGTTTCTCTATCAAATTGTAAGAACTGGGGTCATAAGAACCAAATAAAGATTGAAGCACATGAAGGGCTATTGAATCCAAGGGTAGTAATAATTGGCTGTAAGCGACACAACAAAGTGTGATTACCAATACTTGCAATCAAGCTTCCAATTTGGTCTGTTTGGAAAAC